TAACCAGATGGGTTAGCTTTCCAACACATTTTGAATCGCCTCAATCGAACATCGGAATACAAAGTTATGATAAAAACACTGAAAGAAGGTACAACTACCTGTTTAAAACAAGAAATTCCGTTACATAATCCGTTAAAACAACAAATTCCGTTATTTTTTCCGTTAAACTAACAAATTCCGTTAAATAGGCACTTTTTATATATAGAAAGATATATATGAATGGAGCAACCCACACTTAAATGTGTGTATTGTTTTTGACTTTTTTATCTGTAAAATTCTCTATTTTTGATTGTGATCCTATTTGAGCAAAAGGCAATTGACTTGACTGCTATAGACTACAAGGTAATTATAGTTAAGTTCCATAAGTGAAACTCTAATTTAATATATTGGAAAGACTCCAAAGTTGATTACCTTCAATTGTATTTTGAAACATGTTGAGTCTCGAACTTGTGATCTGTGATGTGCTCCCAAAATTTTGGCCAAAGTCGTGTTACTGAATCACTCTTTTATAAGTTTGGAACATTTTTAATGAGATGATGACACGGGTCCAACTCCTGGCCCTTGATCTTGGCATTATTGATTAGAGATATACATACACGCACAGTTTCATTTTTTGGTCCCGGCTTCGATGAATCTTCTGACTTCCAAGTTCTTTTGAGAGAGTTTTCCTTTTTCATTTTCTTAAGATTAGGGTTTGCTTCGTGGATTTCATCTCTATTCACGAACTTGTAAAATTGAGATCGTTATATTTTAGCTTCTGAAATCTGTGTTTTCTCTGTGATTACCTGTAGGAATAAGGGGTTTCTTATAGTTGTGATTTCCAGTGGGCGAGTTGAAGTTTCTTGAGTGATTCTTTGTAGATTTGCAGTTATTTTTGAGGAGATAAGTATCTCGTACTTATATCTTGTGTTGGAATAAACGATTTGTAACTTTTTTTGCCATTTTTTGGCTATATAGTGCAACCGAGCGAATATCCAATTTTTGGATGCTCAACGAGGGATATAGACCTTAGGAGTGGTCGTCGAACCTCCGGAGCTTAGGCTGAAATAAATCTCTTGTGTTCATTCTTTATTTTCTGCAAGTTTTACTTTCTGGTTATTTAAGTTTTTGTGGAATCTTGTTTAATATCGTGTGGTCTTTTCAGTGTTATCAGAGCAAAGGACTCAGAACAAGATACCTGGATGTTTGCAAAAAATGATAGACCTGTTGCAGATCTAAAATTTTTGGGAACTGCTGATAAGCAAATCTTAAAGACTTCGAGTTTTATAAACTCGATGGATGAGATCTTTTAATTTTTGTGAAGTATCTTTTCAAAAATTAGGTTTCTTGATATTTTCCTTGATTTATCATACACTAAAACCCCCTGAAGATTAATCTTTGTCCAAAGGCTCATACAAGGTCTTGGGAATCTGAGATAAATTCAGTACATATGTGTATCTGGAGGATCTTACTAGAGAAATCTCTGAGATATAGACTTGCGATCTCTGTTATTGTATTCTTTATCCGTGTTTGCTCTGTTTCCTTGATTGTGATTGTGATTGAAACGTGAAAATCATGTATTACTAAGTGTGCTACTGGTGTTTTGTGATTGAAAATTGTCTGAGAGTCACTGTTTGGGCCTTATTAATTTTTTTTTAAAAACTCCTATTCTTGTATCACCCTTTAATAAATAAATAGCTTCTGCAATATTTGAAGTTTCTTAGTTTGATGGAAGAGGTGATTTTAATATGTGGAGTCAAAAAATGAATGCTATTCTAATGCAAATGAGATTGTTACGGCTCTAGATGATAGTTGGCCCGTGGACTTGCCTCCTACAAAGAAAACTGAACTTGAAGAGGTTGTATGAAGTACTATTTTCTTGTACTTTTCTGATCATGTGATAAAGGTCATTGGTGATACCAAAACTGCTTCTGAACTGTGGACTAAGCTTCATATTAAATATGTGACTAAGACTATTCCAAATAAATGCTATCTGTTAAAATAGTTCTTTTCTTTTAAAATGGACCCTGCAGTAGACTTGATGAAAACTTGAATATGTTTACAAAATTGACCCAAGACCTGACCAACTGTGATGAAAAACTTTCAAAAGATGAGTTGACTGTGATTTTGTAAACTCCATTAGTGACGAATATCAAGATATTGAGTTGCTCTTGAGTATAGTAGAGCTGAGATCACTACTAATTAAATCATTAGTGCTCTTAGAAATAAGGCTCTTGAAATTAAATCTGAATCAAAAGAAAGTCATAGTGGAGACAATTTATTAGCAAGGGGAAAATGATTTAGTAAACCCAATTTTCATTCAAAGACCTTAAATGCAAATAAGAATAAGTAGAATGATAAGAATATATTCAAAAATAAGGCAAATGGTAAGAAATGCTATTATTGTGGAAAAATGGCTCATTTTACTAAAGACTGTTACAAGAAGAAAAATGAATCAAAAGAAAGGAAATTGGATGATGGGAATGCTACCTTAGTCTGTAATAAGGAAAATCTTGAAGATGGGTTAGTTCTTGTTAGTATTGAAAAGAAGCTAAGTGATGAATGGATACTTGATTCAGGTTATTCTTTTTATAATAAAAATAGTTTTCTTGAATTTGAAAAACTACTGAGGGGCAAGTAATAATGAGAAATAACATGACCTGTAAAGTAAAGGGCATAGGAACTGTTAAACTATTACTTGAAAATGGAAATGTTCTATTTCTGAAAGAAACTAGATATGTTCCTGAGTAAGAGAGGAATCTTGTGTCTCTAGACATGTTGGATAACATGGAGTTTGACATTAAACTAGGTCAAGGACATATTAAAATTCTCAGGGGCACTGATTTGATTATTAGCATCCCGATGAGGCATGGTCTCTATTTTTTGAAAGCTAAACCTTCACTTGGTTTAACACCAGCTGCTTTAGCTGAAATTTTTCCTTTATCAAAATTATGACATGAAAGACTTGACCACATTGGTAAGAAAAATTTAAAGTCTTCACAAAATAAAAGAGTTTTTGGGAATCAAAATCTTAGTGATATTGGTTCTTGTGAACAATGTGTGATAGGCAAGCAAGCTAAGTTACCTGTCTTACGTGGAATTCATAAATCCAAACAAATACTTGAATATGTTTATGTTGATATGTGGGGTCCTACTTCTTTGTCTACTTCAATATCAGTGGGAAGAGTAGGTGCAGAGGGTACCCGACTAA